CTTTATGCATTTAATGTTTCATGTCCACTTTAAAATACTACCACAGTGCTGTGTCTCCCTTGTACTCATTACTTCTATTCTATTTAAGTGGTAAGGCAATCAAGTCTCATCCAGCAAAACATCACTGAAAACTCAAAAGACTACTTTAACCTTCATCAGAAGTTGGAGAGAGAGAGATTTTCTCAACATTTGCTGTTGTTATGGTAACTTTTAATTGGCTAACATTTAACTAGAAGAATAAAAATATTAATGCATGTTTCTTTTCTGTAGCAAATACATTGCATCACGTTAATGTATATTCAGCACTGTTAGAAAATATATGATGCAAACCTTTAAATTTATATGAAAATGATATAGGCCAAAGCTATTCACACATTTTGAGTAGGAAACTTTGAAACCCTATAAAGCTGAGATTTGAAGGCAGGCTGTTTGCAGTTTTGGCAGTAATGTGAGGCAGTAACAGGCATTTTGCAGAATACTATATAGAGTAACAGCTAGTAGTAGAAGACTAATAGCAATGGCAGAAGTAAAAACATATTTACAGCTAAAAATTCAGATAGTAATAATTGTAGTAGTGACCTAGCAATAGATGTAGTAATGGTTATGTTTGTGCTAATAGTGGCAGTGCTAAATGGAGTAGCTGTAGAACAGCAGTACTTATAATTCTAGACAGAACTGGAAATTTTAAGTAAAAATGCTGATGCTTGTTTCTATTGTTTCTGCTCCAAACTGAAAAAATAAAGCAGGGAAAATGGGAACTATTTTCATGTGGTAATTATTCAAAACTTTCCATTCAAAACTCACGTCAACAACTAAGAGTGTCTGAAGTCCCCTCAGACCCTTCGAGATATAAATTGATCCCTTATGGTGCATTACTCTGTAAATGTATATGTGTATGTTACAGATAGCTCCTGTAGTCATGTTTACAAATAAGTAGATTTTGTATCGAAGAAGACAGTATTACCCCATCTAATTGGACAGACTGACAATCTTTCTGATTTAATAGTTTCAGTATTTGTAGTTTTAATAGACATTTTACAGTCATAGCAGTAACTACTGGATAGTCCTTTGTTATGGACAACAACATGGATAGTAGGAGGATTTCTAAAAGCTACAGGAAATTAAGTATTAACCTAGTAATAGATGCAGTAAAGGTCACATTAGATAAAGTGATAGCAGCAGTAATAATAAGGCTCACTATGAACTGTAGCATATATAGAAGTATAAGGTTCATGCAGGTGTAGTGCTACACTACTTGAAGTGTCTTATCATTTCACATTTTAACTTAATGTTTATAGTTAAAGTTGTCAAAATGGTTGAGTTTCTCTGCATTAACAGCTTTCAGACACAAGATGTTGCCACTTGATCAGATGAGACACATTGAACTTGGCTCTGAAACAGGGGCGATTTTAGCCCATTTTGGGGCAAAATGAATCAAAGCACCCCCAAAGATTTCTTAAAAAGCATGCAGTACTTAATTGAGACGTAACATTTTAACAACAAAAGTATAGATAACTGTGATGGCTGCACTTACAGCCACACAGTGGTAATACCCACCATGTTAGTGTAGAGGCTTATAAGTAACCTTGCATTCACATTTCTTTCTTTAAATATAGGAATTTATTTACAGGACAATAAATAACTGGTTTTGGTTTAGAGTTAATTCACATATCCACATAACACTGCATTCTAAAATAAGTGCGCACATTTTAGTTTACACTGTTATGTATGATTAATTTTTTGTTTTCTGAGTTACCGTAGTTGCAGCTGTTCCAGACCCTTGATTAAGGAGCCAAGAGGTGGAAAAGGGGCGGAGCGAGCTTTAAAGGAAGACTACAAATTGGTTCATGCCATAACTCGGGACCATGGGGGGGAATTGGAGTTCATTATGTTTGGTTTAGTTAGGTTTTGTGTGTTTTACCCCTTCTCCTGTTTTTGTGGGCTGATCAGCCACTATTTAAGTTTCCCCTTTGTCTCATTAAGTGAGGTCAGTTTGTTTGAGTTATCAGTTGTGGTGTCAACTTTGAGTAGAGGTTTGTTATTTTGACCTCTTTTATGGGCCCAAGATTTTGATTCTTTTTGCATGAGTTAACCAATTATGTTTTTTGGACTTTAACCTGTGCTTAGTTTCCTTCACTGCTCGGTCCATCACAATACCCCCCCCCTCCAAACCCCAAAATGGCTTGTTCCAGCTCACCTCTCCCCTACTCTGGCTCTAGCGCTCTTGCTGCCAGAGCGATGGTGGCTGAGACGCAGCGGAGCGCAGGTGTAAGTGCCTGGCTTAAAGCAGGACATATTAGCTGCATTTAACCTTTAGTTATTTTTTTATAAAGTTATAGGAGTCAGACCATGTTTCTTTTTAGCTGAAAAACATTACACCAGGTAACCTGCAGTGTTGAAAACTTGTTTTCTGACTATGTTTGCTACCCTACAATCCGTCCTGCTCTGTAGTAAATTCAGCGGCATTGCATTGTCCTGTTGCTCCCATTGAAATGTATACAGCCTATTTAAAATCTAAAACTTAAAGTTGTCCGTAGCCTGCTGTTGTTACCACTGTCCTGTTTGAAATGGAATGAGAGAAGCTGCTTATTTTGTCATATGTGCCGATATTAAACCCAGGAGCCGCATTCAGGTAAAAGTGTAAGAACAAATGATCTGTCAATAAAGGATAATGTTGGATCAGTGTTTCAATAGTTATATCTTTTATTAGATGTACTTGTGGTCTGGTTATTTGCCTTTTAGTTGAAAGTACACTGAGAGAGGACATTTTTATTAGTGCTCTTAATAGTATTTTTTTTCATTTCAATGTAATTTTCTAATTAAATACAATCTATTTGTGTATGATTGTCAGTCCAAAGAGGGAGAGAGTAACAGAGGTATCTGTGTTTGACACGTCACTAGCCAAAGAGAACATTCTTGATAGGTGCCAACCTTCAATCCTGAAACAGTGACAATAACTGCAGTTCCTCTAATGTGCACTTCAAGCTGGCTCCAAATATTATTCAGCCACAAAGACTCCAATTTTAAAACTTAACACCTTAACAGCAAAATTAAACAAATTGACATCCTAGTACAAAACAGTAGTTTTAGCCACTATAGCATCATCATGACAGCTGTATGTTGGGGGGTGGGCGTGGAGTGTCATTGTATCAATTAAGGCTTAGAGCTGTGGTGGGCATACAATATACAATGACCAAACTGTTATTGTTGAGACTTCAACAGAATTGACCAAGTTCTTCTTTAATAATCAATCTCTGGTTGCTGTTGTTGTCAAATTATGTGTTTTTTCATTAATGTTAATTTTTATAGAATGTTGGGTTGTTTTTTTTTTTTCAAGACAGTCAGTTTAGTTTGAGCTAGTTTCCACAATTGGTTTCCTTGTTGTCCCTTTTTTAAAATATTTTTTTATAATAAAGTTGAGGGTGGTATTTGTGAAGGGTGGAAGTTCAACACAGATATTACAATCCAAACTCAACACTTTATGTCATTTAGATATAATACTTACAAGAGTCACCAGAGTTGATGTTCAGCCAAACATTCATCCATGGCCCAGAGCAGTTCAAACGTCAGTGGCATTCAGGAAATGTGTTTTTTCACCCCTACCTTACTCCTAAACTTGAATTACTTATAAAACAAAAAGACAGTATTATAAACATGGGTGCGTAGTAGTCAGTAATAATTTGGATATTGCCACAAATTCGTATAACATTAAATAGTGATCAACTGAAAATTTTAACGGACTTATAGACACTTTCAAGCCAGAGTGAAATATGGGACTATTTAAGGTGACCTTAAATAAACGGGCACTGTTTGTAGTTATGCCAGTATTTTTACCTTTTGTGATATATTTATAATTTCTCTATTTGTTGTATTCAGAAAATTTACACTTTACAATTTTCCTTCAAAGTGGAGTTAATATTGACTTGAAGTTTTGTAATTCGCACATTTTTGTAAACCCGCGGATTTGAAGTTTAAAGTCTGCACTTTAATTTAACCTTAATTGTTTAATTTAAAATCTACTGTGGTGTTGTACAAAAGGAAAACTGCAAAAATGTGCCTTTGTCCAAAACATTATCAGCATAAATGTACCAGATGCTTATTGAGCTGACATTTTCTACCATTCAAAAAGACGACAATTGGGCATTTCCTCTTTATTAAATTTCATTTGATTTATATACATACACTCGACACTATATATAGTATTGTTTCAGTATTGTTTCTTCTTTTTTTAAAGTCTTTAATTTTTTGGACAAAAAGTTCTGTTAGAATTACTATTTTTTTGTTTGATTTTAGTTAATTATAATAACTATAATAACTACGGATCAAGAAGGAAATAATGAAGTGAGGACCTTTGTTTAGACTTTCCTTCTATGCTACTTCTTTTGTTACTATAAAACATACATTACCAGTACTGTCTTTACCTACAGTAGAGTCAGTACTTTCTCTGCTGGTCTGACGTCATGTCATGTACTGCTCATGTCCTTCATTGCTGCCGCTTGTGTCGTAACTAGAGACTGAGTTAACTGAGCTGAGTGTAGGCTCAAGGTCAAGTTTGATTTCCTTTTTGGTAACTGTGGTTTGGCATTAGATGTTGCATGTAACATAATCACTATGTGAAGGAAATGGAAAGTGCAGAGCACTTCTCTGTCAGTCCCATCAGAGCTGTGCTGCTTTGAGGCGATTCCCTTTTATTTTGGATGCTGAAGCCGATCATGGTTCTCCTGTGGATGATCCTTTTGGTGGTTCTGCTCTGTACAGAGGCCGAGAACATAAAGGCCAAAGGGGAGCTGGGAACAAATGTCACTCTAACCTGTACCAACAGGAGATCAGACATACACTGGTATATGGAGATCCACAGTCAGCTCAGAGGATGTATTGGCCGCAGTTTTTCTCCGACAGACTCTACTTACTGCTCTCCTGATTTTGAAACCAAATTTTTAATCTTGGGAAACAGACTCATAATAAAAAACTTCACAACAGAGGACTGCGGGCTTTACTTCTGTGGCAGGAAGAGAAATGGCAGCATTCATTTCGTGGAGACTTTTCGCCTCGTGTCAAGTATGTATCTCAGTTTTGCTTGACCTTATCACGGTTTTAGGGATTTGTTTGGGAGTTTGAAGTTGTTTATCCTTTATTATTTGGTATTTTGTTCTGTTTGTTTGTTTGTTTTTTATTGCTGTGGATTATATTAGTATTGTTGTTGCTGTTGTTTTGTTGCTGTGATAGGGTTACTGGGTACCTGGCTCTGGGTCCCACCCCGGAGCCAGGCCTGCCATGACCCACAGGACTGTTGGGCTGTTCTCCGGCTTGCAGCCTGTATGTATTTATATTTTTTTCTCTGGTTGACGACAAGGATGTATCCCTGAACCCTCAGGTTGACGAATGGGTCCTGAATGTTGTTTGTTTTCAGAAGGTGTGAAGGTGCTCATAAGTGCACGCAGGACGAGGACATCCTAGGTTGCAGACTGATGATTGATTTTGTAATTTCATCATCAGATTTGCAGCTGTGTGTTTTCTATACCTGCATAAAGAGAGGAGCTGAATTGTCATCCTTTTCTGTCATCAGGTGGTTGTGGTGGACAGGTCTGGCATGCTCTACTCACACAGAGTACACTGCAAGTGGGGCACTGATAAATGTTCAACTAAGGATATAGTTGGGTGGTGTAATGAATAATTTCAACACTTCCTCAATTACATTAACAGGTAGAGTCTGGAGATGAGGGGGACTACTTGCACAACAAGCTCACTGAGATAGTTCGAACCTCCTCGGTGGGAGGGCCCATAGGGTGGATGATAATTACCCTGAATTCCATCCTAGATGTTGTAGCCCTGTCTTGGTTGACTTTCCTTTACAATGTCACATGAAGATAGTTCTTCTGGACTGGGGTTGTGGTTATGGGAAAGGAGAATTTATTAATTAGTCCAAACTTGGATTAAGGTTTTCGTATTGGTCATGGATCGCTCGACCAACCTGTTATCCTGTCACAGGCTGGGTCTCTGACTCGGCATTTAGAATTTTATTTTGTATTGTTGAGACTTTCATGTCAGGTTTGTGATTATAGTTTGTGTGTTATTCTTATTTAGGTTTTAGTTGAGGTTAAGGTTAGCCATTATTTATCATCTGTCTCCTTGTTTTTCTGTTTGGTTTCATTTCTTGTCTGTCAGGTGTTTCAGGTCTGGTAAGCTGGTGTTGTCGTGTCTAAGTCTCCATGCTTGCTGTTTTACTTTGAAGAGGTCTTGTGTTCTGTGTTCATTATTTTAGTTCCACTTTCTCCTGGTGTCATCATGTTAATTTGTGTCAGCTGTTTGCACATGTGTTTCCCTCCCCCTCATCATCACATCATCATATCTGTAACATGCAACTTCTTTCGGTGCTTTGCTACTGGAAACTGAATTTCCCGGAGGAACCCACCCGAGGGATTAATAAAGTTTCATCTAATCTAATCTAATCACCTTGTGTGTATTTAATCTGTGTGTTTCCATTTGTTCCTCATGACGTCGTCTGTGTATCTTCTCCTCGTCATAGAAATCAGTCAGTTCAGAGTCGTCACAGTGTCTTAGTTGAGTTTCAAGTAGTAGTTTCACAGTCTAGTTTGTTTTTCGCTTTGATTAATGTTCCACGTATACCAGCCGAAATAAAGGCTCGCCTTTTGTTCGAGTTAATTCCGTCTGCTCGCCTGTGTCCGCACCTGAGTCCTCCAAACACACTCCCAACATATTCTCTCACAGATATTCAGGGTTCATGGGAGTATACATGTCTTTTGTGACCCGGAGAAAACATTTTCCTTCAAGGACAGGTGATCCAAACCACTGTTGTTCACGGCTCCAGATTAATTCACTGAGTTCGTCTGTGTTGTATCTGGGGGTGGAAGGTGGAAGACAAGCTCACTTGAGCCCCTAGAGCTGAACATAAAGCTTTTCATACATGTGATGCATGCTGGACAGTTACAAACCAGTGGTTTGTCATGCTGAGCAATTGAGGTTAGAAAAATAGAATGTAAGATGAAATAGAGATCCTTAGAAAACTGATCAGCAAAAGTAAGTATGAGTGTATTTCCAGTGGAATGACACAGAGATAGATCCAGAGTTGCTATATATGCGACCAAGGCTGGATAGGAATTGCTAGGGACTTTTGGGGCCTTAATAGCCAAGCTGGGAATAAGTGGGATGCCACATTATGGGCACAAATTGAACATAAAGAATATGTAGAAAATAAGATAAGATAAGATAAGATAGAACTTTATTAATCCCTCGGGTGGGTTCCTCTGGGAAATTCGATTTCCAAAAAGCACAGCACCGACAGAAGTTACAGTTACAGAATATTATATATATATATATACACACACACACATACACACACATATATAATACAGAGACAAATATAAATAAAATATACGAAGGGGATAAATAGAATAAATAGGAATAAAAATAAAAATACAAGTGAATTGCACATTTCAAGTATTGAGGTCTATTGCACCATTGACTATTTACAAAAAGTATTGCACAAGGTGCAAAAATGAATATAAATATGAATATAAAATGAATATAAATATGAAATGAATAAGGGAGGGGGGCCACCAAAACACTTTTTGAGTCATGGAGGATCTTGTCTTTATTTTCCACAAAAAAAAAGACGGTGTTTATAGGGGAGGTAGATGGATGTGTGGATTATTCCTGCAGCTGGAGTTTGAGATATATTTCACTGTGGGAAATGAAGTGATCGCTGGTGATCACTGCTGTGTCCATCACACTCATCCACATCATCATTGGTCACTTTACTCATTATCACGATGTTGCCATATTTTCATGGTCTTCCACTATCTCTGGTCTCTATATTACTACACCTGTGTGTGTGGCCCTTATCGTTTCAGTTTTTTGCAACAAAACTATTTTGTACATGGCAGTGTCTGTGCAAGTTTTAGAAACATTATTTGATCAGTTTGTCTACTGAAGCTGTTAAAAAAGCAAACCAAAATAATATTTTCTATTTTAAAGAAATGACTATTTCTTTATCATCTACATTTTTGTCTAATATTTGAGGATAAACGTTTGGGACTTCAAGTGTAAACTGTATGTGTTTACTTTATCACAGTTTCAGCTTTTCATCATCAACTTTTAAATTTCATCTTTGTCCTTTTGCAGATGCCACTCTGTCTGACAACAACAACCCACAGAACAACTGCATCCCGAGTCAGTTCTTCATCATTATCATCTCTGTCTTTGTTGCCACTGTCATCATTCTAATAATGGGTCAGTGTATAGATTTTGTTGTCAATAACTTTGAAAGACTTTATGATCTTAACAAGAAATATCCACAGCCAGATCCTTCAAATTCAAACCAAACATAGTGATTTACTTATCATATATATATTTGCACCAATCCAAATATTTACCTTTACATATAAAAGACACCACACTTAGGTTTATTTTATTTTTAGAATTTGTCTTTTAACTTTCAGTTTAGTTTCAGTTAGTTTCCAGAGAGTTTTTGGTCTGTATAATTTTTATTGTTTGAAAATGTTCTGTCTTGTTTTTATATTGTAAATATATAAATAAGCTTTTGTTTTCAGTTATACAATTTCAGTTATACAATTCAGGGTTTTAGTTTGTCCATACTTCTGAAAAGATGTCCTTTAAGTTCTAGTTTTTATTTTAGTTCAATATTTTCACTTTTATCTTTTTAGTTTAATATTCGTTGATGGTAATGAACTTTAATTTGCTGCTGATTGGATGCACAACACTGTTAGGAGTTTCACTTCTAGAGCAAAGCGTTTTCATTCATTAATCATAAGACTGCTTATGAAGCTGTGAGTTTGGAGGTAAAGTGACTTAGAGATCTGTTGACAGGTGGGGTTTTCACACTGCTGTGCTTGAGGAAGAAAAACAGCAGCACACAGCTGGATGATCCGTCGAATCACATCTATGAGAATTCTATAACACTGTAGCTGAGCAGGTAAGCAAACCAATGCTGATTCTTCAGTTTAATTTTTAACTCAGTTTTATTCATATTATGCCAAATCACAACAACGGCTGCCTCAAGGCACTCATAATATTGTAATATAAAGCAGTGGTCCCCAACCTTTTTTGCGCCACGGACCAGTTTATGCCCGACAATATTTTCACAGACCGGCCTTTAAGGTGTCGTGGATAAATACAACAAAATAAAACTAGTACTGAAAAAAAAGAAGATTTATTCATAGCACACGTGAAAAGACCCAGGAAAACCGAGTTAACGATAAAAATGATAACAAACTAACGCTGAAAACCGATAAAAACCCTGAAAACCATACATTTCACACCCGAGCCTCAACTCTCGCGGCCGGTACCAAACGACTCACGGACCGGTACCGGGGACTGCTGATATAAAGAACCTACATCATTACAAAAAACAGATAAAACTCAAAAAAATCATATGACCCTCTGTGAGGAAGCACTTATGCAACAGTAGGAAGGAAAAACTTCCTTTTAACAGGAAGAAACCTCAAACAGAACTAGGCTGTGGGAGGGGCAGCCATCTGCCATGGCCAGTTGGGGGTGAGGGGAGAAAGGAAGCAAACTGTGGGTGCTAATGCTGCAATATTGTTGCTGAAACTACTAGTTACTACCATGAGACCTGAATTAAGTATTGCACTTCATAAATGTTTTACAAAATACTAAAACTCTCTTAGAATCACGTGTAAACAACAACTTGTAAAAAGAAAGTAAAAACATTGGAAACTATGCTTCTTTTTTTCTTTTAATTTCAGAAACATAAATCTTGACTAACTGAACTGATATTATTTATATGGCATTATTGCTAAGTCTGCATTTATGTTCTGCTAATTCTACTTTCAGTCTGTGGTGTTGTGACTACTTATGGTCATATGGTCACAAATGGCAACAATTCTTAAAAGTGAGGCCGAATCTTTCGTGGCTGTATTCCTTCTATTGACCAGCAGGAGGCGACTCCTCTGGTTGTTAGAAGATGTCAGATCACATAGACATCTCTGATAAAGTGATTTACTGCTCACTTAATCTTTGATAACAATAATCACTTTAAGGTGACAAGTTTCACGTTTTATTCACATTTACAGGATAAATAAACATGTTTACAGTCTGCTCTAAAAAAACTGTTTTGATGTCTATAACTCCCCCCATAGCTGTACAGGACTCACCTCAGGCTTAGAGCTTGTAGTATTATTAGTGTTTGAACAGAATACATAACAGTACCCAAAACACAAATGTTAAGACTTCAAAACACGATTTCCAAATAACTTCTTTTAATAATCAATCTGCTGCTAATACTGCAGCACACTGTCACTACCCACACTGCTTAAAAGTACCGCTACAGTATTACTACTTCCCTATACTGAGCAACTGTCTTGTCTTTCAGGATAAGAGGATCCAAATTATGGCGTAGATTTCCAGCTGAACCAACAAGACATCACTGAAAGATTTCTTTGCCTTTCATCAAACTTTGGGGATGGGATATATTGTTTTTCTCATCATTTATTATTGTTGCTGTCAGACTCATTTTAATTGGTTATTAATTGGTTTACATTAAACTAAAAACTGAAATATGTATATATCTTTGTTCTCTACAACACAAAGCTGACTAAGTCAGGATAAACATCATTAGAAAATACCTGTACAGTTATTATGTAAAACTTTAAACTTATGTAGATATAGATTTTTTTTGTGCTTTGTTTTTTTTTCATTTGTTTGTTTTATCCTTTAATAAAACTTTAAGCTGTGCCGTGTTCTTGTTTTTTATTTTCAGAAGGAAGTACAGGAGAACGTCTGTGGTTTAAAATATTGAATTTGCTTCAGCAGTTGAACTTACAGGTTACAGCACTGGACCTCTGTGTGAAATCAGCCATCTGTCTTCACACAAAAGGATGAGCCTGGATTGGGCCGTAGAGTTTTATACAACGTGACAGTCCTGCTGTCTCCCTACGAGTCTTCTCTCCATTCACATTCATGTCCAACCTCGCCTCATATCCGCACCTTTTCCTGGAATAAGACAGAGAAGAGAAAACACCTCCCTGACTAGCCCTCATCATTAATATTATCCTACTGATTCTCTTTATTATCTAAGTTTGGGACATTCTGTCAGGACTCCCTTGGCCAAGAAAATATCATCCTGGCTGTTAACTAGTTATAATATGTAAGCATGTTGCAAAACCGTCTGCGCTACTGCATCACATCACAATAATTCAATTCAGTTATAGCACTGATGAAGCTTTTGACCCTAAAAAACACAGAGTGCAAACTCTTTAATGAGCACACAGGAATTTGTATATAAAAATAATAAAAACAGCTTTATGTAATAATTTTATTCCTAACAGCAGCAGTCATTTGAACATGTGAAGGGCATTTTGTACTGACAAACAGACTTTGAACAGTATTTGAAACTTAAAGGGATCATTTTGTTGCACTGGCACCTAGTTAAATTCAGCAATATTACCAGTAATTGTAGTAAAAAATATTGTAAATGGAGTAGTACCCCTGTAGTAGATGTAATAAAAGACTATAACTACTAGAGGTGACTATGTTAAGTTATAACCAGGATTATATGTAGTAGGAGCTGTAGTTTTCATAGCAGTACTGATTGCATAACGCAGAGTTGGATTTGTAATATCAGTCTCCCAAAAGGTTGATTCTATTCATCTGCTCATGTAGTACTTGATAGTACTACTACCACTATATGGGGGTGTGGTTCATGTTATATTAATGTTTCAGTACTTGAAGGTGACACTTTAATCACTGAAACACTGATACACTTTATAACTCACTTTATAACACACAATACACAACTAAACACACAACTTAGTTAGAAACAGGAAACAGTCAGGGCCCCAGCCAGGCTTGACAGGGGGAAATATATAGCAAAAGCCATTCAGTTTCCAAGCAAAGATCAGCTTCCACCTGCAGCTTCCACAAGCAAAAACAGCAGAGAAAATGAACATTGCCGCCCACAGTAGTGGAGGAGAGAAAACAATACACAAATTTGTCTGCATTGACTTACTGATCACAAACCAGTTTAAGTTCTATGGTTTCTTTCATTTAAAGTAAAACAGTGTTGTAATTGGTTTTGATGTGCATCACATTCAGCTGTGGGTCTTGGTTTGCGACATCATACTAACCCAAACTGTGGGCTGGATGTCAACATGTCCTATAAATTACTTGGTGTTTGAGGTTTCCTATCGCTGATCAGAGTCACCATTTAACTCATCAGAGCTGAGCTGCTTTCAGACGACTCCGTCTTGTTGTGGATGCTGAAGCTGATCATGGTTCTCCTGTGGATGATCCTGTTGGTGCTTCTGCTCTGTGCAGAGGCCGAGAACGTGACCGAGGTCAGAGGAGAGCTGGGGACCAATGTCACTCTAACCTGCTCCAATCAGACATCAGACACATACTGGTACATGGAGATCTACAGTCAGTTCAGAGCAGGTATCGGCCGCAGTTTTTCCTCAGCAGGCTCTACCTACTACTCTCCTGGTTTTGAAACCAAATTTTCAATCCTGGGAAACAAACTCGTGATTAAAAACTTGACAGCAGAGGACTGCAGGCTTTACTTCTGTGGCATCAAGAGAGGAGGCAGCATTTGTTTTATGGAGACTTTTCGCCTCGTCTCAGGTAAGAACCACAGTTTATTTAACTTTATTGTTGTAGGATTAGTTATTCTTCAGGCCTATGATCCATTAGCAGTAAAGCATATTTTGAAAAGACTGATTGCATCTCAAACTTGGTGCAGAGGTGACACATGGATAATAGATAAAATGTCTACATTTGGATCATTTTTGTTAGTTGTGCCTATGTGAGGTGGTGGTTTGTGGCAGCGCTTATTTTTTGCAAGGAAACCATAGGGTGCATGTAGAAACAGCTCCCTGCTCGGATTGGCCACGTGAAAAACAAAAATGCCCACTCCCCTTTTCGTACTATCAAAGTGACAGACTCATTGTCTCTTTGTACCATCAAAATATCTTGAACTTAAAACCAATGCATTGGGGAAAAATTGTGCTTAAAGTGAACATCCACCTGGTTTTATAGATGTCTCAGTCATCGATGCTGCCTGTGGGTTCTTCTCAGTTTAGCTAACATCAGGCTGCACATGTGTTATCACCAGAAGTTTCACTCTGTTCACTCCAATATATTGAAACCAGACAGTCTCTTCCAGAGGAGTGCACAGCTTGAGAGTAGCATCTCAGGTTTATGTGGCCACATCTTTGTCTCTGCACTTACTCTAGAAAAAGGGAGCTGAACGGCAGGTGCAGCCGTGGGATTTTGGCCTCTTTGGTTATACCCATATTGAAAGGCTTTGAACAGAAAATATGTAAGACCACAATCTGTCTGAGTTTGTATCTGAAAGGTGACATCATCTAGTTTCTAAAAGAATAACCAAACTCTTAGTGCATTGCAAATGGAAAATATTTTCCTTTACCAGCCTATGACACATTCTCACAAGTTTATGTTTCATCTGTTGTGGTTTCACAAAGGACATTGTCACCCACTGCTTGGTATCAGTTCTGTTTCCAGGAATAAATTATCTTAACTTTCTTTATGTTTCCATTTGGGGATGTAAATCAGGTACATGTGAATCTAAGACTAATTATACTGCTCTCTTTAAAGAGGTAACTGAGACCTAATGAATGTTAAGCAGTTAAAATAAAAGGTAAGTGAAAATTCGATTCAAACAGCTGCCTTACCTTTTCTGCTCTAAATTTCTGTAAGGTGGCCAGAGTATACACATTTATCTCTCTATTGGGTGGATTTAAAATGTACAATTTGCTGAAATGCATTTGCCTCATTTTAATGCATTTTTTAATTAAGTTACAGTCTAAAGTCTCCATTGCCATTGTTTTTTTTTTTTTAAGCATTCAGTATATTGAAATTATCTCAAACAAATCTTAATGATATCAACAAA